CGAGACGACCAAAGGAAGCTGAGAGCCCTTTGAGAGAACCAAGCTTGCTGAGGCCGGGAATGGCGGCTGTGTCCTGCGCCGCTTCGCCAGTGCGTGGGTAACTCTGATGTCTCCTGGACCAGACACTGGAGGTGTGGCCAGCTCTTCCGTCCCCTCCGCTGTGATGACCTGCAGGGAGAGACAAATGGTTAACTGAGGGCAGAGGGAATAAGATAGGTAAGACAATGATTACGAGAAAGTTATGTCACTTTGAACAAATTGTCAGTTTCTTCTAGTTACTATCAGTCCTCTCGAGTTGTCACAACGTCACAAAACTGATATACTAAGTTGTCCGAACCAAACCTAAACGAGGAACCACGAATAGCTAACGGGAAAGAGCGTCAGTTTTGCGAGCCTTTATGATTTATATACATCATATTTTGACAGTGGGTGATTTACACGTCAGAATACGTTAGAGAGGACGGGTTGAAGAAGAAATATTGAAACCCTGGTATAGGCATCGGGTGTGGACACTCCGCTCCCTGTGTTGTGGGGACCAACGCTGCGGCAAGATCACTGCCGGAGCAAAAACTAAGAAGCCATTATTGCCCAGGATCAATAATGGCTTCTAAATATGTAACAATAATGGCATCCTATTCACTAATGGCTTCTCTAATGGTTACGTTGAAGACGTCATTAAAAGAAAGATGACACGCCAAGCTACTCATGCACGCAGTCACTTCCTAGGCTTCTAGCAGCTGGGGGCGCATGGTCATATTGTAAGCCAGGCGTTTCGACAAAGCGTTTTCTAATTGTACAAGCTTGTTACATCGTTAGGTTAGGCTGTTCTGAAGACTTGCTGGTGATTTGTGTGTGATAGGGTTTGGTTAGGTGTGGCTAGGTTAGGTTCTACAGATAGAACAAGGTTAGGTTGGGTAAGATTAGGTACGGTTTAAAACTAGTTGGCGAACCATCTTGCTGTAGGAGGTGTGCTGTGTCACAGCTGGCGGCCCGCTGCCCCTCGCCCACACCACATCAGGTGTTGCTTCAACAAGAGATCCTGATTATCTCTTTCTTAAGTCTTGGCCTTGAACAATGAAGCGTAGTATGGAGGCTTGTTTAGGAAGCATCACGTGGCATCATTTGTGTGTTGTTTACTTTGCCTCTGGCCTGGCTGTGGTGTGGCGCCCGCCGCGTTGTATGTATCACCTTATGTCACCTTATGTAGTGGTGAGCTCAGTACCCAAGTACACACCTACACAGTATTTAGTGGAGAAGATAAAATAGCAGGATAGCACACAGTTACAGCCCTGCTACTGTGCCAGGTAAGTCCACTCCGGGCTCACCACAGTATCTTAATCTTCTTAGTTGAGGAGCTGTTAACTTGAGACAGTTAAACAAGTCCCAGCAGTTTCTGGGAACAGGTGACAGGATGAACAACCCAGAGGATTTTCTTCCTATTGGGGAGTGTTGTACATGCTGCTATGGCGGTGTGTCCACTCACAGGAGTGGCGCTCCCAATAAATTCGGCCCTCGGGGCAAAATGTAAAAAATTTACGGGCTCACCATAGCACCGCTCCCTTGCCAGGTAAGTCCACTACGGGCTCACCATTGCCCTGCTCCTGTGCCAGGCAAGTCTACTATGGGCTCACCGTAGCCCTTGCAACTTGCAACGTTTTGTTCAAAGTAGTTGAATCTATAACAACCGCGTGCGTTTTTATACACCTACTATATAGATGCCACACCTGTGACAGGTAAAAGCATGCTTTTTCTGAAAAACAGCGCCATCTGTTGCACGTAATAGCAACACACGCTACACTAAATATGCTACGATTCCATTTCAATGTTTCTGATTTCATTGATAAATTTAATTTTCATAGATTTCAATTTATTTTCATTTTGATTTCATTATTTTGTGTGATATTGTGTTGGAATTGAGCTGTTCTATTTACCATACCATTCATTTCGTGAGTATAGCTTATATTTTATTTTTTCATTGGTTTTCATTTCATTTTGTAACTGTTTTCTTATACTTCAGTGATGTGAACATAAGATCATTTGGGAATGCATCGGACGAGGGAGTGGGGAGGACATAGAGACGGTAGTGGGGGATGGTGGGGAGGACGAGGGAATGAGGGAGGGGGTAATGGTAATGTAATAGCAACAAGGACGCCTGACAGCTGAGTGGACAGGGCTTTGGATTCGTAGTGCGGAGGTTCCGGGTTCGATCCCCGGTGGAGGCAGAGACATATGGGCAAAATGTTTTTTTCACCCTGATGCCCCTGTTACCTAGCAGTAAATAGGTACCTGGGAGTTAGACAGCTGTTCCGGGCTGCTTCCTGGGGGGGGGGTGTATAAAAAAGGAGGCCTGGTCGAGGACCGGGCCGTGGGGACGCTAAGCCCCGAAATCATCTCAAGATAAACTCAAGATATGGTGCAGAGAACGAGGGGATGGGGGAGTTGGGGATGATGGGGACAAGGGGACAGGGGAAAGAAGATTGGACGGGAGGATAAGGGGACAGGGGCATGGGGGATGGTTGGGAGGACGAGGGGATGGTGGGGAGGACGAGGGGATAGGGGAGTGGAAGATGATGTTTGAGGACAAGGGGACGGGGGAGTGGAAGGTGATGGGAGGATGAGGGGACGGGGAGTGGAGAATAGTTAGGAGGACGAGGGAATGCTGCAATGGGGGATAGTTGGGATGACAACGGGATGAGAGAGGTGGGGGGGTTGGGAGGACGGGAGGGTTGCTGCAATGCCCGGCCGGGAACAGCAAGTTATAAATATGAATACTTATAAATTAATATGAATAAATAGCATTAAATATAACAATAAACAATAAATCTATATAAATAAAAATGGAAATGTTCGTTTGTGCATGACCGCTAATCTCAGAAAGTTCTTTATCGATTGCTTTGAATTTTTCACACAACGTTCCATTCGCATCCGAGCAGGTTTTTATATACATACTATATAGATGTCACGTCTGTGACGGTAAAAAAAAAAAACATGCTTTTGATGGTAAAAAAAACATGCTCTGAAAAACTGTTTTTCATGTGAGGAAAATCTTCGAAACCTCTTTACCAATTGCTTTAAAATTTTGACACAATGTTGCATTCGAATAGACGCATCTTTATATATACCTACTATATAGATGCCACCCCTGTGACAGGTAAAAACATGCGTTTTTGAAAAACAGCGCCATCTGTTGCACATAATAGCAACATGCACGCTATACTAAATATGTCACGAATTCCATTTCAATGTTTCCAATTGTATTTATAAATTTTATTTTCATAGATTACAATTTATTTAATTTTTTATTTAATTATTTTGTGTGACATTGTGTTGGAACTGAGCTGTGTTGTTTACCATACCGTTCATTTCGTAAGTATAAGTATAGATGCCACACCTGTGACAGGTAAAACTATGCTTTTCTTGAAAAACAGTGCCATCTGTTGCATTAAAGAGAAACACACATGCTATACTAAATATGTTACAATTCCATCTCAGTGTTTCTGATTTCATTGATAAATTGATTTTCGTACATTTTGATTTATTTTCATTTTGATTTAATTATTTTGTGTGAATTGCGTTGGAATTGAGCTGTGTTGTTTACCATACCGTTCATTTCGTGAGAATAGTTTATTTTTTCATTTCATTTTTTAACTTTTTTCTTATACTTCAGTGATGGGAACATCAGATCACTTGATGTTCCCAATTTTCTGATGTGAACATCAGACCATTTGGCAAGGCAATGGACGAGGGAGTGGGGAATGGTGGAGATGACGAGGGGACGGGTGAGTGGGGAATGTTGGGAGGCTGAGGAGACGGGTGAGGGGTGAGTGGTGGGGAGGACTGGGGGACAGGGAAGGTTGCTGAGCCACAGCAACGCGTGGCCGGGTACTGCTGGTAATATAATAATAATATAACAATAAATATAACAAATTATATACAAGCTTGGCTGGAATGAACAAACTTTTTAATATATTTTCTGTCACAGACCTGGATACTCATATATACTACGCTTCCCACCAAATATACTTTCTTCTGTCCTCCGTGGATAGGGATATATACATTCTTCTGTCCTCCATGGATAGGGATATATACATTCTTCTGTCCTCCATGGATAGGGATATATACATTCTTCTGTCCTCCATGGATAGGGATATATACATTCTTCTGTCCTCCATGGATAGGGATATATACATTCTTCTGTCCTCCATGGATAGGGATATATACATTCTTCTGTCCTCCATGGATAGGGATATATACATTCTTCTGTCCTCCATGGATAGGGATATATACATTCTTCTGTCCTCCATGGATAGGGATATATACATTCTTGACACGACATTGTAGAACAGATGTGGAGAGTGTGGTGAGGTCCTGCCACTGTCCCAGCTGGCAGAGGACACGCGCCTGGACTCTGGTGGTATAATAGGAGCTGCCTCGTATGGGCCAATTGGCCTGCTGCAGTTACCTTGTTCTTATGTTAAATGTGTGCTCCGGTGGAGGGAGCAGCCCACGGTGGTCACTGTTAGGTTAACACTCTTTGCCCTTCTGAATAGGCACTGTATAAGTGGGCACTGTTAGGTAAGCACTGTTGGCAGTTTATAGTATTCACTGTAAGGTAAACACTGTAGGTAACACAGAGCAGTCACTGTAAGGTAAACACTGTAAGGTAAGCACAGTAAGGTAAACACTGTAAGGTAAGCACAGTAAGGTAAACACTGTAAGGTAAGCACAGTAAGGTGAGCACAGTAAGGTAAGGACAGTAAGGTAAGGACAGTAAGGTAAGGACAGTAAGGTAAGCACAGTAAGGTAGGTGCCTGCCTCACCTGGGTGCAGTAGAAGGCAGGGCCGGTGGAGCAGCCCTCCACCACCTTCCACCTGGACCTGAAGCGGCACTCCTCCTCCTCCAGCAGGCGCTCAAGCTCCTCCTCTAGCTCCTCCTTCACCTGGGGGGGGGGGCGACGCACAATATAGTGGGGGGGAGGTGTTGAGGGAAGGGGGGGAGGGAGGTAGGTAAGGGAGGGACAGTCTTAGGGTGGGTCGAACACAACCCATTTACCTTAGATAAGGAACAAAACACAATATAATAACACAAAGGCAATTCAGAGCATGCTACCATCAAGGTAATTTACCTAAAACACACCACACCCAGTGTATGGTGACTGTCTATACCTCACCACACCCAGTGTATGGTGAGTGTCTATACCTCACCACACCCAGTGTATGGTGACTGTCTATACCTCACCACACCCAGTGTATGGTGATGTGTCTATACCTCACCACACCCAGTGTATGGTGAGTGTCTATACCTCACCACACCCAGTGTATGGTGACTGTCTATACCTCACCACACCCAGTGTATGGTGACTGTTATACCTCACCACACCCAGTGTATGGTGACTGTCTATACCTCAACACACCCAGTGTATGGTGACTGTCTATACCTCACCACACCCAGTGTATGGTGAGTGTCTATACCTCACCACACCCAGTGTATGGTGACTGTCTATACCTCACCACACCCAGTGTATGGTGACTGTCTATACCTCACCACACCAGTGTATGGTGACTGTCTATACCTCACCACACCCAGTGTATGGTGACTGTCTATACCTCACCACACCCAGTGTATGGTGACGTCTATACCTCCCCACACCCGTGTATGGTGAGTGTCTATACCTCACCACACCAGTGTATGGTGACTGTCTATACCTCACCACACCCAGTGTATGGTGACTGTCTATACCTCACCACACCCAGTGTATGGTGACTGTCTATACCTCACCACACCCAGTGTATGGTGACTGTCTATACCTCACCACACCCAGTGTATGGTGACTGTCTATACCTCACCACACCCAGTGTATGGTGAGTGTCTATACCTCACCACACCCAGTGTATGGTGATGTCTATACCTCACCACACCAGTGTATGGTGACTGTCTATACCTCACCACACCCAGTGTATGGTGACTGTCTATACCTCACCACACCCAGTGTATGGTGACTGTCTATACCTCACACCACACCCAGTGTATGGTGACTGTCTATACCTCACCACACCCAGTGTATGGTGACTGTCTATACCTCACCACACCAGTGTATGGTGACTGTCTATACCTCACCACACCCAGTGTATGGTGACTGTCTATACCTCACCACACCCAGTGTATGGTGACTGTCTATACCTCACCACACCCAGTGTATGGTGACTGTCTATACCTCACCACACCCAGTGTATGGTGACTGTCTATACCTCACCACACCCAGTGTATGGTGACTGTCTATACCTCACCACACCCAGTGTATGGTGACTGTCTATACCTCACCACACCCAGTGTATGGTGACCCAGTGTATGTCTATACCTCACCACACCCAGTGTATGGTGAGTGTCTATACCTCACCACACCCAGTGTATGGTGACTGTCTATACCTCACCACACCCAGTGTATGGTGACTGTCTATACCTCACCACACCCAGTGTATGGTGACTGTCTATACCTCACCACACCCAGTGTATGGTGACTGTCTATACCTCACCACACCCAGTGTATGGTGACTGTCTATACCTCACCACACCCAGTGTATGGTGACTGTCTATACCTCACCACACCCAGTGTATGGTGACTGTCTATACCTCACCACACCCAGTGTATGGTGACTGTCTATACCTCACCACACCCAGTGTATGGTGAGTGTCTATACCTCACCACACCCAGTGTATGGTGACTGTCTATACCTCACCACACCCAGTGTATGGTGACTGTCTATACCTCACCACACCCAGTGTATGGTGACTGTCTATACCTCACCACACCCAGTGTATGGTGACTGTCTATACCTCACCACACCCAGTGTATGGTGACTGTCTATACCTCACCACACCCAGTGTATGGTGACTGTCTATACCTCACCACACCCAGTGTATGGTGACTGTCTATACCTCACCACACCCAGTGTATGGTGACTGTCTATCACCACACCCCTCACCACACCCAGTGTATGGTGACTGTCTATACCTCACCACACCCAGTGTATGGTGACTGTCTATACCTCACCACACCCAGTGTATGGTGACTGTCTATACCTCACCACACCCAGTGTATGGTGACTGTCTATACCTCACCACACCCAGTGTATGGTGACTGTCTATACCTCACCACACCCAGTGTATGGTGACTGTCTATACCTCACCACACCCAGTGTATGGTGACTGTCTATACCTCACCACACCCAGTGTATGGTGACCCTGTCTATACCTCACCACACCCAGTGTATGGTGAGTGTCTATACCTCACCACACCCAGTGTATGGTGACTATCTATACCTCACCACACCCAGTGTATGGTGAGTGTCTATACCTCACCACACCCAGTGTATGGTGAGTGTCTATACCTCACCACACCCAGTGTATGGTGAGTGTCTATACCTCACCACACCCAGTGTATGGTGACTGTCTATACCTCACCACACCCAGTGTATGGTGTGAGTGTCTATACCTCACCACACCCAGTGTATGGTGACTGTCTATACCTCACCACACCCAGTGTATGGTGAGTGTCTATACCTCACCACACCCAGTGTATGGTGACTGTCTATACCTCACCACACCCAGTGTATGGTGACTGTCTATACCTCACCACACCCAGTGTATGGTGACTGTCTATACCTCACCACACCCAGTGTATGGTGAGTGTCTATACCTCACCACACCCAGTGTATGGTGACTGTCTATACCTCACCACACCCAGTGTATGGTGAGTGTCTATACCTCACCACACCCAGTGTATGGTGACTGTCTATACCTCACCACACCCAGTGTATGGTGAGTGTCTATACCTCACCACACCCAGTGTATGGTGACTGTCTATACCTCACCACACCCAGTGTATGGTGACTGTCTATACCTCACCACACCCAGTGTATGGTGACTGTCTATACCTCACCACACCCAGTGTATGGTGACTGTCTATACCTCACCACACCCAGTGTATGGTGACTGTCTATACCTCACCACACCCAGTGTATGGTGACTGTCTATACCTCACCACACCCAGTGTATGGTGACTGTCTATACCTCACCACACCCAGTGTATGGTGACTGTCTATACCTCACCACACCCAGTGTATGGTGACTGTCTATACCTCACCACACCCAGTGTATGGTGACTGTCTATACCTCACCACACCCAGTGTATGGTGACTGTCTATACCTCACCACACCCAGTGTATGGTGACTGTCTATACCTCACCACACCCAGTGTATGGTGACTGTCTATACCTCACCACACCCAGTGTATGGTGACTGTCTATACCTCACCACACCCAGTGTATGGTGACTGTCTATACCTCACCACACCCAGTGTATGGTGACTGTCTATACCTCACCACACCCAGTGTATGGTGACTGTCTATACCTCACCACACCCAGTGTATGGTGACTGTCTATACCTCACCACACCCAGTGTATGGTGAGTGTATGGTGAGTGTCTATACCTCACCACACCCAGTGTATGGTGAGTGTCTATACCTCACCACACCCAGTGTATGGTGACTGTCTATACCTCACCACACCCAGTGTATGGTGACTGTCTATACCTCACCACACCCAGTGTATGGTGACTGTCTATACCTCACCACACCCAGTGTATGGTGACTGTCTATACCTCACCACACCCAGTGTATGGTGACTGTCTATACCTCACCACACCCAGTGTATGGTGACTGTCTATACCTCACCACACCCAGTGTATGGTGACTGTCTATACCTCACCACACCCAGTGTATGGTGACTGTCTATACCTCACCACACCCAGTGTATGGTGACTGTCTATACCTCACCACACCCAGTGTATGGTGACTGTCTATACCTCACCACACCCAGTGTATGGTGACTGTCTATACCTCACCACACCCAGTGTATGGTGACTGTCTATACCTCACCACACCCAGTGTATGGTGACTGTCTATACCTCACCACACCCAGTGTATGGTGACTGTCCTCACCACACCCAGTGTATGGTGACTGTCTATACCTCACCACACCCAGTGTATGGTGACTGTCTATACCTCACCACACCCAGTGTATGGTGACTGTCTATACCTCACCACACCCAGTGTATGGTGACTGTCTATACCTCACCACACCCAGTGTATGGTGACTGTCTATACCTCACCACACCCAGTGTATGGTGACTGTCTATACCTCAAAACACCCAGTGTATGGTGACTGTCTATACCTCACAACACCCAGTGTAAGGTGACTGTCTATACCTCACCACACCCAGTGTATGGTGACTGTCTATACCTCACCACACCCAGTGTATGGTGACTGTACCTCACCACACCCAGTGTATGGTGACTGTACCTCACCACACCCAGTGTATGGTGACTGTACCTCACCACACCCAGTGTATGGTGACTGTCTATACCTCACCACACCGAGTGTATGGTGTCTGTCTATACCTCACCACACCCAGTGTATGGTGTCTGTCTATACCTCACCACACCCAGTGTATGGTGACTGTCTGTATCTCACCACACCCAGTGTATGGTGACTGTCTGTACCTCACCACACCCAGTGTATGGTGACTCTATACCTCACCACACCCAGTGTATGGTGACTCTATACCTCACCACACCCAGTGTATGGTGACTCTATACCTCACCACACCCAGTGTATGGTGACTGTCAATATCTCACCACACCCAGTGTATGGTGACTGTCTGTACCTCACCACACCCAGTGTATGGTGACTGTCAATACCTCACCACACCCAGTGTATGGTGACTGTCTATACCTCACCACACCCAGTGTATGGTGACTATACCTCACCACACCCAGTGTATGGTGACTGTCTATACCTCACCACACCCAGTGTATGGTGACTGTCAATATCTCACCACACCCAGTGTATGGTGACTGTCTGTACCTCACCACACCCAGTGTATGGTGACTGTCAATACCTCACCACACCCAGTGTATGGTGACTGTCTATACCTCACCACACCCAGTGTATGGTGACTGTCAATACCTCACCACACCCAGTGTATGGTGACTGTCTATACCTCACCACACCCAGTGTATGGTGACTGTCTGTACCCCACTACACCCAGTGTATGGTGACTGTCTATACCTCACCACACCCAGTGTATGGTGTCTGTCTGTACCTCACCACACCCAGTGTATGGTGACTCTATACCTCACCACACCCAGTGTATGGTGACTCTATACCTCACCACACCCAGTGTATGGTGACTCTATACCTCACCACACCCAGTGTAGAGCACTTGGGTGCCCTTAAGAGCACTAGGGTGCCCTTAAGAGCACTAGGGTGCCCTTAAGAGCTCTAGGGTGCCCTTAAGAGCGCTAGGGTGGCCTTAAGTGCGCCTGGGTACCCTTAAGAGCGCTAGGGTGGCCTTAAGAGCGCTAGGGTGGCCTTAAGAGCGCTAGGGAAGACGTAAGATGAGATAAACAGAGATGAGTAAGGATGCCATACCCGCTGGTGGTCGACGTCCCACAGCTTCCGCTTGACGGGCTGACCTTTCACAAGCCGACGAGTCTGGCGGAGCAACAACAGTTAGCGATGATTTTATTATATACGTGAGATAGTTAGCCGTCAAGCACACCTGATCTGTTAGTCTCTCTCTCTCTCTCTCTCTCTCTCTCTCTCTCTCTCTCTCTCTCTCTCTCTCTCTCTCTCTCTCTCTCTCTCTCTCTCTCTCTCTGTGGGTTAGCAATATCAAGGTTTTAACAGTGATTACTTTTGGGTACGTGCCCAACATGGGCTGTTCAGGGTTGGTATAGATGAATTAAGTGCCACTTAACACAATGTCACAGTGACTTCAATAATAAAACTTGCAATATCATATTAACTATACTCTAAATTGTTATTTTTACATAATATAATGTAACATTTACATTTTTCACACTCAGTCTTAACAATGATGACTTACCAGTCCTGACAGTGATGAGTTAGATGTCCTAATAGTGAAGAGTTACCAGTCATAACAGTGACCAGTCACCAGTCCTAACAGTGACCAGTCACCAGTCCTAACAGTGACCAGTCACCAGTCCTAACAGTGACCAGTCACTAGTCCTAACAGTGACCAGTCACCAGTCCTAACAGTGACCAGTCACCAGTCCTAACAGTGACCAGTCACCAGTCCTAACAGTGACCAGTCACCAGTCCTAACAGTGACCAGTCACCAGTCCTAACAGTGACCAGTTACCAGTCATAACAGTGACCAGTTACCAGTCCTAACAGTGACCAGGTACCAGTCATAACAGTGACCAGTCACCAGTCCTAACAGTGACCAGTCACCAGTCCTAACAGTGCGCTCGTGATATAAACACGAGCGCACTAAATTTTGAAAAAGAAATTGAAAACATGCCCATGCACTCGGCCCCAGGTCCAGACTCATGGAATTCAATATTTATAAAGAAATGCAAAGTGCCGGTAGCACAGGCACTCAGTATAGTGTGGAGGAAGAGCTTGGACACGGGGGAGATACCAGATGCACTTAAAGTAGCAGACATAGCCCCTCTACACAAGGGAGGGAGCAAAGCATTGGCAAAAAATTATAGACCAGTTGCATTAACATCGCACATCATAAAAGTATTTGAGAGAGTGATTAGGAGTCAGGTCACCAATTTCATGGAGACCAATGACCTTCACAACCCAGGCCAACATGGATTTCGAGCGGGAAGATCGTGCCTCTCACAGCTACTTGAGCACTACGACAAAGTCACTGAGGCATTAGAAGAGAAACAGAATGCTGATGTGATATACACGGACTTCGCAAAGGCCTTCGATAAATGTGACCATGGCGTGATAGCACACAAAATGAAGTCAATGGGAATAACCGGTAAAGTAGGACGCTGGATACTCAGTTTTCTGTCAAACAGGACTCAGCGAGTAACTGTCAACCATATAAAATCTAGTCCAAGTGCAGTGAAAAGCTCTGTACCTCAGGGTACAGTCCTTGCACCACTGCTTTTCCTTATTCTCATATCAGATATAGACAAAAATACAAGTCACAGCTTCGTATCATCCTTTGCAGATGACACAAAAATCAGTATGAAAATTACCTCGGCTGAGGACATTGAAAAACTTCAAGCTGATATTAATAAAGTTTTCGACTGGGCATCAGAAAATAACATGATGTTTAACAGTGATAAATTCCAGGTACTCAGGTACGGTAAAAATGAGGACCTTAAACATAATACAGAGTACAAAACACAATCAAATGTACCCATAGTAGGAAAACAGCTTGTAAAGGATTTGGGAATAATAATGTCGGACGACCTAACGTTTAAGGAGCATAACCAAGCAAATATTGCGACAGCCAGAAAAATGATAGGATGGATTACGAGAACTTTCAAATCCAGGGATCCCATCACAATGGTTGTACTCTTCAAGGCACTTGTGTTGTCCCGTCTTGAGTACTGCTCAGTACTCACTTCCCCCTTCAAAGCAGGAGAGATTGCTGAAATAGAGGGAATACAGAGAACATATACGGCACGCATAGACTCAATAAAGCACCTAAATTATTGGGATCGTCTCAAAGCCCTCCAAATGTACTCACTAGAAAGAAGACGAGAGAGATATCAAATAATATACACCTGGAAGATACTGGAGGGCCAAGTACCAAATCTACACAGTAAAATAACAACGTACTGGAGTGAACGACATGGAAGAAAATGTAGAATAGAACCAATGAAGAGCAGAGGTGCCATAGGCACAATCAGAGAACACTGTATAAACATCAGAGGTCCGCGGTTGTTCAACGTCCTCCCAGCAAGCATAAGAAATATTGCCGGAACAACCGTGGACATTTTCAAGAGGAAACTAGATTTATTCCTCCAAGGAGTGCCGGACCAACCGGGCTGTGGTGGGTATGTGGGCCTGCGGGCCGTCCAAGCAACAGCCTGGTGGACCAAACTCTCACAAGTCGAGCCTGGCCTCGGGCCGGGCTTGGGGAGTAGAAGAACTCCCAGAACCCCATCAACCAGTGACCAGTCACCAGTCCTAACAGTGACCAGTCACCAGTCCTAACAGTGACCAGTTACCAGTCATAACAGTGACCAGTCACCTGTCCTAACAGTGACCAGTCACCAGTCCTAACAGTGACCAGTCACCAGTCCTAACAGTGACCAGTCACCAGTCCTAACAGTGAACAGTTACCAGTCATAACAGTGACCAGTTACCAGTCCTAACAGTGACCAGTTACCAGTCATAACAGTGACCAGTCACCAGTCCTAACAGTGACCAGTCACCAGTCCTAACAGTGACCAGTCACCAGTCCTAACAGTGACCAGTCACCAGTCCTAACAGTGACCAGTTACCAGTCATAACAGTGACCAGTCACCAGTCCTAACAGTGACCAGTCACCAGTCCTAACAGTGACCAGTCACCAGTCCTAACAGTGACCAGTCACCAGTCCTAACAGTGACCAGTCACCAGTCCTAACAGTGACCAGTCACCAGTCCTAACAGTGATGAGTTACAAGTCTTAACAGTGAAGAGTTACCAGTCCTAACAGTGACCAGTTACCAGTCCTAACAGTGATGAGTTACCAGTCTTAACAGTAAAGAGTCACCAGTCCTACCAGTGACCAGTCACCAGTCCTAACAGTGATGAGTTACCAGTCTTAACAGTGAAGAGTTACCAGTCCTAACAGTGACCAGTCACCAGTCCTAACAGTGACCAGTCACCAGTCCTAACAGTGACCAGTCACCAGTCCTAACAGTGACCAGTCACCAGTCCTAACAGTGACCAGTCACCAGTCCTAACAGTGACCAGTCACCAGTCCTAACAGTGACCAGTCACCAGTCCTAACAGTGACCAGTCACCAGTCCTAACAGTGACCAGTCACCAGTCCTAACAGTGACCAGTCACCAGTCCTAACAGTGACCAGTCACCAGTCCTAACAGTGACCAGTCACCAGTCCTAACAGTGACCAGTCACCAGTCCTAACAGTGACCAGTCACCAGTCCTAACAGTGACCAGTTACTAATCCTAACAGTGACCAGTTATCAGTCCTAACAGTGACCAGATACCAGTCCTAACAGTGACCAGTCACTAGTCCTAACAGTGACCAGTCCTAACAGTGACCAGTCACCAGTCCTAACAGTACCAGTCCTAACAGTGACCAGTCACCAGTCCTAACAGTGACCAGTTATCAGTCCTAACAGTGACCAGATACCAGTCCTAACAGTGACCAGTCACCAGTCCTAACAGTGACCAGTCACCAGTCCTAACAGTGACCAGTCACCAGTCCTAACAGTGACCAGTTACTAATCCTAACAGTGACCAGTTATCAGTCCTAACAGTGACCAGTTACCAGTCCTAACAGTGACCAGTCACCAGTCCTAACAGTGACCAGTCACCAGTCCTAACAGTGACCAGTCACCAGTCCTAACAGTGACCAGATACCAGTCCTAACAGTGACCAGTCACAGTCCTAACAGTGACCAGTCACCAGTCCTAACAGTGACCAGTTACCAGTCCTAACAGTGACCAGTCACCAGTCCTAACAGTGACCAGTCACCAGTCCTAACAGTGACCAGTCACCAGTGACCACCAGTCCTAACAGTGACCAGTCACCAGTCCTAACAGTGACCAGTCACCAGTCCTAACAGTGACCAGTCACCAGTCCTAACAGTGACCAGTCACCAGTCTTAACAGTGAAGAGTTACCAGTCCTAACAGTGACCAGTCACCAGTCCTAACAGTGACCAGTCACCAGTCCTAACAGTGACCAGTCACCAGTCCTAACAGTGACCAGTCACCAGTCCTAACAGTGACCAGTCACCAGTCCTAACAGTGACCAGTCACCAGTCCTAACAGTGACCAGTCACCAGTCCTAACAGTGACCAGTCACCAGTCCTAACAGTGACCAGTCACCAGTCCTAACAGTGACCAGTCACCAGTCCTAACAGTGACCAGTCCTAACAGTGACCAGTTATCAGTCCTAACAGTGACCAGATACCAGTCCTAACAGTGACCAGTCACCAGTCCTAACAGTGACCAGTCACCAGTCCTAACAGTGACCAGTCACCAGTCCTAACAGTGACCAGTCACCAGTCCTAACAGTGACCAGTCACCAGTCCTAACAGTGACCAGTCACCAGTCCTAACAGTGACCAGTCACCAGTCCTAACAGTGACCAGTCACCAGTCCTAACAGTGACCAGTTATCAGTCCTAACAGTGACCAGATACCAGTCCTAACAGTGACCAGTCACCAGTCCTAACAGTGACCAGTCACCAGTCCTAACAGTGACCAGTCACCAGTCCTAACAGTGACCAGTCACCAGTCCTAACAGTGACCAGTCACCAGTCCTAACAGTGACCAGTCACCAGTCCTAACAGTGACCAGTCACCAGTCCTAACAGTGACCAGTCACCAGTCCTAACAGTGACCAGTCACCAGTCCTAACAGTGACCAGTCACCAGTCCTAACAGTGACCAGTCACCAGTCCTAACAGTGACCAGTTATCAGTCCCAACAGTGACCAGATACCAGTCCTAACAGTGACCAGTCACCAGTCCTAACAGTGACCAG